GCGCTGTGGCTCTGTGCTGGTGCGCCTTATCCCTGCATCTGGGGCACCGGCATCGTCTCAGCCCCTGTGCCCCAAGAGCTGCTGCTGATGGCTGGTACTGGCGACTGCTACGCTTCAGCCAGGGGCTGCACTCCCACCTGAGGCAACTTCACCAAGGTCGCCTTCCATGCCGTCGCTAAGGCCTACAGCTCTCTCACCCCCACCTCTGGGAAGGGACTGTGCTCCCCGTCAGGAACTCACTGACTGTCTTGTAAAGACCACCGTCCCCCAGAGTTTCTCTGCAGAGGACCCAGGCTCCAGCTGAACCACTCCATAGTTTTATACAAGGAAAATAAAGTGAATTAAACCTGGTAAAAAGAAAAAGAAAATTTATATAATCTGAAACTTGGCAGTTCTAACCTTAAATACAGACCTTAGAGAAACTCTTGAACATGGACTTAAGGAAATGATATATACAGAATGTGTAGAGTTTTAAAACCATGCACAAAAAAATCTTGTTTTATGTTGCTAATGAAGTCCTCTATTAATATGAGTATATTAAAATGGACATTAGTATACATATGGAATTTAGGGTCAAGGTTGCCTCTGGGGGGGAGGAAAGAGACTGGGAATGAGGGTTGAGGTCAAAAGGAGTTTGAGCTCTGTACTGTTTTATTTACATATTTTTTAAGAAGAATATATATAAATGTTGCTTATACATGTGTATCTTACCTGTATACATCAGGAAATAAAGACCTGAAGCAAATACAATAAAATGTTATAGTGGTAGAAATATGGGTATTTCTTATATTATTCTTTGAAAATATTTTTAATTTTCTCAAGGTAAAAAAAGAGTTTTATTTTTAGATATACTTAATTTGAGGTGTTTCTGAGATATCCTGGTGAAGGTAAGTAGATGTGTAATTTGAGCTGAAAAGAGTTTGGACTAGAGTAATAAATATTGGAGTCATCAGTATATACATGATAATTAAGGCCAAAGGAATCGATATATCACCTAAGGAAAAAGAACAGATAGTAAAGAGAAGAGGACCCAGGGCAAGTCTTGAGGAAATTTCACATTTTCAGGCTAAGGAGAAAAAGAGGAGACATCAGACAAAGTTGATAAAGTGAAGCCAGAGAAATAAGAGAAAAATTAAGATGTATGGTGTCCTGGGAGCTAGAGGAAGAGGGTGTTAATTGAAAGGACAGAAAACACAACTGTGTCAAGTGCTGCTCATACATTGAGTTAAAAATTGGTATTATTGGGTGTTGCCACACGGAAGTCACTGGCGTACTCATAGGGTAATTTAATTGAAGGGGAGAACAGAAAGATTTTGTAATGCGTGAGCAAGATCTGCTGGACATAGCACAAAAACACTGTTCACAACAGGGAAAAATGGATAAATCTGACGACTTAAGAACAGCAAATTTCATTAGTGTTGACAATATGTGTGGAATTCCTACAAATCACCCAGTAAAAAAGATGACCCAAAACAAAAAATAGGTAAAAGATAAACAGTCAGTTAATCTACAGAAGAGGAAACTGGAAGATACTTAACTTCACTAAAATCAGAGAAAGGCAAAACAATAATGAAACATTTCCCCTAGTAGATTAGCAAAAATCAAAGTTTGGTAATGGCAAACAGGCAAGGATTGCCAAGGATGGGGGAAATCCGACAGAATCAAGTAAAAAACTGTTAGAAGTAATTAGAGAGCTTAGCAAGGGTTGCAGGATAGAAGAGCAACATTCTAATTAACCAAATAGAAAAGGTAGTAAAATATAAGATAGTTTTTATAACAGAAACTATAAATACCGAGAGACAAACTAATAAAAATATACAAGAATTTTATGGAGAAAATTATAATGCTTTAACAGGGCTATAAAAAGAAAATTAGAATAAATGGAGAAATATATACCATGTTCATGTATGAGAAGGCTCAGCATTTTAAATATATCAATTCTTCCTATATTAGTCTATAACTCAGTGTAATTTTAACCAATACCCTAATGAGAGTTTTCAGGGAATATAACATGGTGATTTTAAAATCATGAGTGAGAATAGAGGTGTATTTATTTAATAATAAATAAATAACAATAAATATTTGCTAGCTTTTTAAAAACAAAAATGGGTGACACACCCTACCAGATATGAAAGAATATTACAAAGCCATAGTTATTCATGTAATAAAGTAATTGTCAAAGAGATCTGTGGAACAAAATAGAGTTTAGAAATAGACCTTGACTGTTAATTGACCTTATTGTTGTAAGTAGTTTGCATTATACATGTGTATCAAATCATCACAATGTACACCTTAAACATACATGTTTTATGTGTCAATAATATTGGAATAAAGCTTGAAAAAAATAAATTTTAAAAATTTTAAAAAGAAATAGGCCATGGTATTTTTGAGAACATGATGTATATTAGACAAGGCATTAAATATTGGTGGGGAAAGGAAGAATTATTTATTAATGGTGTTGGGTCAGTTCTTGTGTGTAACATTCCTCACACTCAAAAATAAAATCCAAATGGATCAAAGACTTAAACACGAAACTTGGGAAGAAAAGATAGGATCCTGTCTTTATGACCTCAGAATTAAAAAAAAATTCTTAAATAATATGAAAAGCACAGGCCATAAAGAAAAAGATTGGTAGATTGAACTAACTCAGTAATTTAAATTTCTGTATTTAAAAATAAATCCTCCAAAAATAATGTTCAAAGGCAAGTAACACACTTGGAAAAGATATCTGCCACATAAATAACAAAGAATTAGTATCAGAATATAAAAGGTTTCTACTAGTCAATGAATAAGGGAGAGATAGTCCAAAAGTAAAGTGGGCCAAGGACAAACCCTTGCATTTTGCTAAAGAGAAAATCCAGATGACCAATAAACTTTGAAAGAATTCTCAGAACCTGTCTAATCATCATAGAAATGCACCTTAAAATGAAACATTATTTTTCTTTTTTCAAATGTATTGGTAACCCTGAACAGCCAAAACAATCTTGAAAAAGAAGGACCTCACACCTCCTGACTTCAAAACATACTACAAAATAACAGTAATCAAGATGGCATGGTCCTGTCAGGTAGACAGATATACAGAACGATGGGACAGAATACAGAGCCCAGAAAGTAAACCCTTGAGTATATGGCCAATGAGCTTACACTGTGGGACAAGGACAGTCTCTTCAACAAATGACGTTGGGAAAAGTGTACATCTACATACAAAAGAATGCAGTTGGACCCTTACCTTGCTTACACCATATACAAAAACTAACTCAAAATGGATTGAACACCTAAATTGAAGACCTTAAACTATAAAATTCCTAGAAGAAAACATAGGGAAACAGCTTCAGGACATTCATTCTGGCAATGATTTTCCTTGATATGACACCAAATCACAGGCAACAAAAGCAAAAATACTTTAAAAACTTAAAAACTTTTGCACATCAAAGGAAACAATACACAGGGTGGAAAGATAACCTACTGGGTGGGAGAAAATATTTGCAAAGCACATCTGATTAAGGGATTAATATGTAGACTATGTAAGGAACTTCTGTAACTCAATAAAAACAATAAAAAACCCTAAATAACCCAATTTAAAAGTGCGCAAAGAACTTGAATAGACAATTCTCTAAAGAGATATATAAATGGCCAACAAGCATATGAACAGATGCTCAACATCACTAATCATGTGAGATAATATCTCATACTTATTAGGATGTCCAGGTTCAAAAACAAACAAACAAAAAATACCCCAGAAAACAAGAAGTGTTGGCAAGGATGTGGAGAAATTAAAACCCTTAAACAGTATGGGAACGTAAAAATGGTACAGCCACTAGGAAAACAGTATGAGTTTCTCAAAAAAATGAAAAATAGTATTACCATATGATCCACTAATCCCACCTCTGGGTAGATATCCAAAAGAATTCAAAACAGGATCTTGAGGAGGTATTTGCACACCTATGCTTGCTGCAGTATTATTCTCAGTAGGTAAGAGGTAGAAGCAACCCAAATAGACAACTGAAAGGTGGGTAAAAAATTAGCATATACATTTTATGGTGGAATATTATACAACCTTAAAATGGAAGGAAACCTTATCAAAAATGGATAAATTTTAAGGACACTATGCTAAGAGAAATAAAGCATTCGCAAAAGGACAGATCATTCCATTCATATGAAGTATCTGAAGTGGTCAAAATCATAAAAACAGAAAGTTTAGAAAGTTGTTTTCAAGGGCTGGGTGAAGGAGAGAAAAGGAATTAGTATTTAATGGTTATAGAGTTTCAATTTTGCAAGATAAAAAATTCTAGAGCTATGCTGCACAATGATGAATCTATTTAACTATAAATTAAAAATGGTTGAGATGCTAAAATTGTTATATGTTTTTACCACAATAAAAAGTTACAATTTTAATTTAGCCAAAAATTGTATTACTGCATAAAATATATAACAAATCCAAAAGTGTGTGAAATGCATCTATAAAGTTAAAAATAAAAAAATTTAGCCTTGGCCAGTGTGTCTCAGTTGGTTGGAGTGTCATCTAATGCACTAAAAGCTTGCGAGTTCTATTCCAATTCAGAGAACAGAATTAGGTAGTGGGTTCGATCCCCAGTTGGGGCTCATGCAGAGGCACATGCAGAGGGCAACTAATCAATGTTTCTCTCTCTCTTTTCCTCTTTTTCTCCTTCTTTCTCTCTCTCTCCCTCCCCCTTCCTCGCTCTCGAAAAAACAAGGGGTAAAGGTCTTCAGATGAGGATAATAATAATAATAATAATATTTATATCCATGTACCCACCACACAGCTTAGAAATAGAATATTATTAATCTCCTAGAGGACTTCTCTATGTCCTTCCTCCTCGCCTTCCTCCCCCAGAGGTAACTATCCTGAACATTCGAGTTAATCCTTCTCTTGCTTTTTCAAATAGTTTTACCACTAATATGTGTGTATCACTAAACAATATATTTTTGCCTAAATTGAACTTCATATAAATGGAATCTTATATCCCCCTTTAACTTACCTCTTTTTCTCTGATCTCATATTCTCTTTTTAAACATGAATCTCTGAGGTTCATCATACTGACGCATGAGTATTGTGATACATGAAAACATGACAATTTATTTTCTAATCTGTTCTTAATGGGCATTTAAGATATTTCCAGTTTTGAGATATTGCAGATGGTCATTACTCCTGTGAATATTTTTGTACTTTTCTTGGTCCTGGTGTTCTTATGCAAAATTTTCTCTAAGCCCTAGATTTTAGAATATAAACATAGATAAGTGAAAAATAAATTGGAAACAACCTAAAAAGTTAACCGATGAACAAAATTAGACATATTTATATGATAGAATATTATACAGTAGTCAAAAGGAATGAATCTGATTTTTCTGTATCATCGTAGATCATAAAAACATTATATGGAAAGAAAACTGAGAGAAAAACAAGAATAATGAATCATGGCTATTTAAGTAAAAAGAATTTAAAAGCACACATAACACAATATATTGTACATAAAAATATAAAAAGTAGACTGGAAGTATATACACTAAAATCATGATAGTGGTTGCTTCTGGGGAAGAAGGGAAAGGGGACTTCAGATTTTATGTGTAATGTTTTATTTCCTTTAAAAAGGGTTAAAAGTAAATATGATACAAGATTAACAGTTGTTAATTTGGGGTGGAAGAATATGGGTATTAGATATATTGTTTTTTAAAAATTTGTATGTTTTGCCCTGGCTGGCGTAGCTCAGTGGATTGAGCACGGGCTGCGAACCAAAGTGTCGCAGGTTCGATTCCCAGTCAGGCCACATACCTGGGTTGCAGGCCACAGCCCCCAGCAACCGCACATTGATGTTTCTCTCTCTCTCTCTCTTTCTTCCTCCCTTTCCTCTCTAAAAATAAATAAATAAATAATCTTTAAAAAAATTTGTATGTTTTAAGTTTCTTTTTTTTTAAAGTCATAGATTACACCCAGAAGGATGTAGGGTAGAAGGATGTGTGAACGTCATTTAAATATTTACGAGTTTGCCTGATAGTTCATCTGGTATTCAAAATTTACATGCTGTGAAAATCCCACTGAAATTTATTTTTTGTGGTTTTCATTCTTTTGATATAATTTTCAAAGAAACAGCAGTTAAAATTTTTTTTTTGTGCAAAATGTTGTACTGTTTCCATAGGAAAGATGCCCAGACATGTAATTACTGGGTCAAAGAGGGTGAATCTTTGAAGTATTTGCTGCCTTCGAGGAATATGTCCTAATACACTTTCGTTTGGAAAGTCCCACCTTGAAATATAGCAAATCTAGGAGTGCTTTCTATAGGCATAAAAGGTCTGTCCTTTGTTTAATTACTCTTAACTGATACTTAATTCTTCCACTTTGGTTGATACATATACCTTTGCATTAACCTCTGGCTTAATTAGTATTTGTCTACATAAAATGTTGATCCCACTAGTGGAAAGACAAAAGAAGAAGATATGTTCGCTCAGTATTAGGAAGGGCTTTTTAAAGAGAGAACTATTCAAAGACAGACGGTCCCCAGTATCGGACGTAGGTGAGCAGAGACTAGACAGTTTCTTGGCAGAACATTATAGATTCCTTCTTTCATTCCTCAGACCTTTAAGAAACACCTCTTCCTTCAGCCACATGCAAAGACCTAAAGACCAGAGGTGAACAATTTTAGGGTGCTGCCACCCAGCCTAAACCTCAAGAGTTTAACTAAATGATCCGGTCTGGGGTTCTCTGAATTCTTTGTTGATGGCTGGACCTTAATTTTAAGTTTGGAGGGTGTGCCAGTGCAAATGAAGGACTGGAAACCCAGAAAATGAAACAGCCTAAAAAAAAGAAAGATTTTACTTACTTATTCTTAGAGAGACGGGAAGGGAGGGAGAAAGACAGGGAGGGAAACCTCCTATGTGAAAGAGAAGAATCCACCCGCCTCCACCGGGCTGCGCCCCATCCGGGACGAGCCCCGAATCCACGCGTATGCCCTGACCCGGAATGATTCCGCGATCTTTCGCTTTGCTGGAGGACGCCCAACCCACTCTACCACAAGGCCACGGAAAAAGCAGCTTTTATGAGATTTCAATTAATTACGTTTCTCAAAACGATTCATCAAGTTCACTTGTGGGTGTTGTTAGATGCAAAGATAAATTCTCGCTGAACGGACATTCAGGTGCAGGAAAGGGAGAGACACTTGGGAGGGGGGCGGTTGAGCTAAAAAAAGCTGTGTCTCCTAGTCTTTTCCCAATTTGGCTCGTTTCGTGTATTCCTCGCCTCCTCGGTACCAAGACCCCATACCCTAGGAGCTGAATTAGCGCCGGCGGGCGAGCTAGCTGGTGGGTCATTCAGTAGGCCGGAACCTCCCAGGCAAGTTCGCGAGGCAGTGCGCCCGGGGAAGCGTTTGAGCGCTGCACCGCCCTGCGCCATGCCCTTCAGCCCAGTGCTCGGAGGAGAAAGCTTTGGACGTGGGGCTCGGCTGTGGTTGTGAGGGTTTTCGTTGTAGTTAGCGGTCTGAGGCCAACTCTCTGGCAAGAGCGGCGTCATCATGCTAAGCGGACGGCCGGGCCGAGTGCCCTTACAGTTCCTGCCGGATGAGGCCCGGAGCCTGCCCCCGCCCAAGCTGACCGACCCGCGGCTCGCCTACATCGGCTTCTTGGGCTATTGCTCCGGTCTGCTAGATAACGCGATCCGGCGGAGGCCGGTGATGTTGACCGGTGAGGGCTGCGCGAGCGGGATCCGGTGGGAGGAGAGAGGGTCTCAGGGTTGCGAGCCGGCTCTGCCATAGACTGCCATAGGTCCCTTCGCTTTTCCGGGCATTTTCGCCTAGCAGGCCCCACCTCGCCTTCCTGGGGCATCCGCGCGCCCCGTGAGCTCTTCAGAATTCGGCGGGGCCAGAGTGTCATTTGGCTCTTTAGGAAACTGAGGTGGAGTGAAACCCACGACCCCACAGTGAGTCTGTGAAGGACCCAGCAGTGGATTGCCTGCCACCCTCTCATTTCGCGCTGTGGTGTATGCAAAACTGAGCGTTCACTCCATGCCATGTACTACTGAAACTACGTACATTATAGCATTTAATCTTCAAGACACCTTATGGAGAGATGTTATCCACAATGAGAAAACAGAACCTTAGAGAGGTTAGAGCAGCTTGTCCAAGGTCATATGGCTCACAAGTAGCAGGGCCTGTTTTAGTCCTCAGAGTCTGTATTGGAAAGCAGTGCTGTCAAACTCAATGTGCATACTGCTAATAACCTGGGATCATGTTAAAATGTGCATTCTGACTCATTAGGTCTGGGAAGGGGCCTGATATTAACAAACTAGCAGACACTGCTGCTGCTGGTGCTGCTGTGGAGACCCCACTTTGAGTGGGAGTCTTTAAAACACTGGGCTGCCTTTTCTAGTATGTCAGTGGTGTCCTGTCAGAGCTGGTAAGAACTGACACAGTAGCTGTGCTAAGGGTTATGGACATCCAAATGGAAAAGTGGAGGGAAACTGAAAGATTTTGAACTTAGCTTTGACTTACCAGGCAGATACTAGGAAACAGCCTTCCAGGCCCATGGGACTAAGGGGAATAAGTGAAGGCAAAGGTCTCTGGATGGGGGGTAGTTTGATGACTGAATGAGTGCAGAGTAGGACAATAAGGCTACAAACAATTGTAGGGAGATCATGGCAATTTATTCTCCAGGCAGAAAGGAACCTTTTTAGCTTTTGATTGGTAGGGGCCAGGCAGAGATGCAACGATCAGACGTGTGTTTTAAAAGGTCAACTTGGTCAACAATGTGCAGCAACACTGATGGGAGCCAAGGAGCCCAGTTAGGAAGAAAGGTAATACAGTGGTTCCTGGTTTCGGAACCAGGTAATACAGTGGAACCCTGTAATACAGTGGTTCCCGCAACCGGGAACCACGTCACTTGTGCCTCTTTTGCCTTCTTCCAGCTGTATGTTATACCCGGAAGTCAGCTTCCAGTGCTCAAATAGTATTGAAATCCCATCTCCCTTGGATAGGACTCTACTATAGCAATTTGCATGTTAATAGAGATGAGTTCACCCTTTTAAGTCCAGGAAAATTCTGGGAAGGCTTCTTAGCAGAAGCAATGTCTGAGATGAGCCTTCAAGGATCAGTAAGTCACTGGGCAGAGAAAATGAACAGTGCACATAATGTAGAAGCAAGAAGAAGCCTAGTTTGTGTGAGGAATTAAAAGTAGTTCAGTGTGTCCCAGTGGATTGGGCATCGTCCCAGAGACCGAAAGTTCGCAATTTCCATTCTGGTCAGGGCACATGCCTGAATTGCAGGTTTCATCCCTGGTTGAATGGGTATAAGAGGCAACCAATCAATGTTTCTCTCTCTCCCTCCTTTCCTGTCTCTCTAGAAATAGATAAATCTTAAAAAAAAAAAAAAAAAAAAAAGCCCTGGCTGGTGTAGCTCACTGGATTGAGCACAAGCTGTGAACCAAAGGGTCACCAGTTCAATTCCCAGTCAGGGCACATGCCTGGTTGCAGGCCAGGTCCCCAGTAGGGGCCACCTGAGAGGCAACCACACATTGATGTTTCTCTCCCTCTCTACCTCCCTTCCCCTCTCTCTAAAATAAATAAATAAATAAATAAAAGTCTTAGAAAAAATAGTTCAGTGTTGCTGGAGCAGTGTACATATCAGGGAGCATAAGAAGGTGAAGGTGGGAGAGTTGGCTCATGAAGGGCTTGGGAGGTCATTTGTAAGAATTTGTACTTCTGTTGAGCATAACTGAAGAAGGAACCAACAAGCAAGGTTTATATTTTAGTAAAAATTCTAGTGACAGGATGAAAGCTGGGATCATTGTGGAGTGAAAAATGAGATGAAGGGAAGACCAGCTAGTACAAATGAGAGATAAGTGAGGAAAGGAAATATTTACCAGGCAGAACTGGCAGCACTCAGTGACTGGATGTGGGGAGGAGGGTAGGAAAAGAAGGATGATTTCTGTGTGTATTACCCAGGACTTGGATTCCTGGGTAACTGGTCTTATTAGAATTAGGAGGAAGAGGCATGTATAGGAAGGAAATGAGTTCATTTTGGGATATCGAAGTGAACCTATCTGTCAAACATTTGGATGTATCTGTTAATCGACATGGGTGTCTGAGTTGGATATATTTGTGGGTTGCCAGGACATGGGTAGTAGATACAAGTATAGTAATAAACCAGTTCTCCAAAGGAAGATACGTAGGATAAGAAGTGGAGGACTAAGGGTGGAATTCGGGGGCTTAGCTAGAAAATCAAACCTGCAGTTAGCCTTTTGCAAAAAATATTTCTGTATATCAAGTTGGTATCTTTGGATCTCCCCTTCAGACTTTTGGCTGTCTCTAGAGCATGTGATTTGACCCTCTCCATTCTCATTAGAATAGAATTATTTTTTTTATATTATGATTTTATAAATATAGTTTTCAAATAGATAATACATGCAAATGGGATGAAATTTAGATGGGACAGAAGAGAATTGAGATATATTTCTGGTGTAGGCTGCTACTTTAGTAGCCACTAAATATGCAAATGTAAACCAGTATATGGAGACCAACCACACTGCTTGAAGACCGTTTGTAAAGGACTTTGTCTTAGCTCATCACTTCCTGAACAAGTCCTGGAATACAAATTAGTTGAGGTCTAAAGTTAACTTAGTGAAGAAGAAAATATTTTTTTCTGTTCTCAATCTAGCATTTGGGATTTGGGATTTATCCACCTTTTTCCATGAATAAATTTATAAAACCTCAATTTTTAAAATCTTGGACTCTATTGATAATGATGTTTGTAGACTTAACATTGCTTTTCATAATTGCCAAGTTGCTTTAAGAAGACACAGCAAGATCAAGGCTGCTTGTTCAGAATAGCCATATAGAAAAGCCCTTTTTAAAAAAAAATTTAGAAGAAATAATAAATTATATATCTGAAATATAAGATTATAATCTTTACTACACATTGCCTGGCTGATTTTTGCTTTCTTCGGAATTTGTCATTTGAATTTCAGGTTTGCATCGCCAGCTTCTATATGTTACGTCCTTTGTTTTTATTGGATATTATCTTTTAAAACGTCAAGACTATATGTATGCTGTGAGGGACCATGATATGTTCGCATATATAAAATCACATCCGGAAGATTTTCCTGAAAAAGGTATTTCAAGTTAATTGTCTAAAACCTTTCTTACTCTGCATCATTTTCCCCAGTTAATCTTTTCCATGCCTGTGGCCTCAGGTTCCCTTTCTATTTTGTTGACTCCCATATTGTTGTCTATAGACCAGAATTCTCTTGAATTCAAATACCCAGGTTCTGGCTAACTACCTCAGATAGTGAACAGAACCTCACAGCCGTCTGCCAGCCCAGACCCATTCTGGGTCCTGCTTCAGAGATGGTGCTGCTGTGCTCCTGGGTACTCCAGCCTGATGCCTGGGAATCATCTCCAAGTTTTTTCTTTTACTCCCCATTAGTCATCAAGTCTTACTGTTCTACTTTCTATTTCTTAACTCTAAACTCTCCTCTCTCTCCCATTCCATGCTGGTGCAGGTCCTAATAATCTTTTGCTTGGATCGTTGCTCTTGCCTCCAGCTCTCCTCCATTTTTGGTCTTACTGAAGTTCACATCTCAGGTTGAGTGTCTGGTAGAAGCACTTTGCCGTACCTTTAATCCTCCACGTTATGTACACAAAGATGTGTCCCTCCTTAGACTGCAGCTTTGTCTGTTTCCCCAGCCTCCAGCACAGAGTGTGAACAAGTCCTGGTCCACATAGTGGACACTAAATAAATAATAGCTGACCTGAGCAACACAGAACCCTGCCTCATCTCCCATAATCCATCTCCTGCCTCACAAAGTGCTGTGTTCTGAACCTGCCCTGTATCATTTGTACACACTGTCCCTTTTTCTTGAACCCCCTCTTGCCCATTTCCACCCTGTCTGTCTGGCAAATTCCTGTCCAAGCTTCATCTCGATGAAGTTTTTACCCAGTTACAGACAGGAATTTCTTCAGCACATTCTACTTATCTCTGTTCAACTATAGTGTTGATATAACTGTCTTGTTTTTATTTTACACACATACACACAGTACAGATGTGTACATGAGGGAAGGAAGGAAGGAAAAATTTGAACTCCTAGATTTTCCTAAATGTGTAATATTAAGCATTGAGATTTTATTAGACTGAATGATGCTCTCTAAGGTCCTATTTAGCTCTAAAATTGTATTACTCTATTCCGTATTCTTACAGCCTTTAGTCACATATGTATTGTTTATCGTGCATTAAAAAGGTACAGTGTGTGTGTGTGTGTGTGTGTGTGTGTGTGTGTGTGTGTGTTTGCCAATGAAGAGCTCAAATACTAGTACAAAACTATGGATAGTGGCTGTATCAGGGATGAGGAATACTCCGAACTGCTGGAAAGACCTTGGGAATATTGATTCCTCAGAGTGAGACCCAATGGCAGAGCGGTCCTCAGTCCCAGAACTCTGGCTCTTTGCCTCCTTGTTCCCACTGTCTCCCTCTGTCAGCAGGAGTGTGTGCAGCTTCACAGGCTCATTCTGTCTCTGAGCTGCAGGTTACTAGCAGGTGTACCAAGAGCCTCAGGCACTGATGACCGTGTAAGCACAGAGAGCTTGACCACCTCAGCTCCGGGCCCCTCCCCCCTGACCTTTGCCCCTCCCTGTGCATTTCCTTCCTTCACCCCTTCCAGGATCCACAGCAGCACTTCGCCCCTCTGGGCAGCCATCTGGATGTCACCAGAGGTTCTTCAAAAGTATTCGGTAAAGCAGAGAGTCTCAGGGACCCCCAGGCCATGGCTAAGGACTAGAAAAGGAGGACATTTTAGGGGTTTCTGTCTCTAAGAGTATTAAGTTTTAATTTTATTCTTTAGGGAATATGATTTAAAACGTAATTTAAATATAATCTTTTCTGATCTTTCCTGTTATAGATAAGAAAACTTATGCTGAAATTCTTGAAGAATTCCATCCAGTGCGTTGAAGTCTCCACAGTTCTTGCTTCGGTTTCACTGATAACAGTTATTTCTGAATTTAACGGAACACGTTTTCTTGATATTTGAAGTTATAATAATCTGTGTGTTAACACCAGTGATTAAAATGGTCATCATGAGCACTCTGACTCCTTTTTGTCATGAGAAAAGTAGTTCATCCCAGAATGGTCCGTTTCAATTCAGCCAATTTTAAGAAGACATGTGACAGATTTAAAAATGGAGTAGTTCTGGTTCTGAGTCAGCCAAGTACGGCCTGTGGGCCAGATGTGGCCCACTGCCAATACAGCTTTTGGAACACTGTCCTGCACATTTGTTCACGTGTTGCTCACGTTGCTTCCAGGCCACAGCAGCAGAGTCATGTAGCTGTGGCAGGGACCTTATGGCCTGCAAAGCATGAACTAACATACGGTCCTTTGCAGAAAGGGTTTGCCTGCCCCTGTGCTAGTTTACAAAGCAAAACAAAGCAAGCCAGGCTATGGAGGGCTTTGTAAGTCATGTAAATAATTTTGACTTGAACCCCTAGGTGGTAGGAAGTTACTAAAGGGTATTTTAAATGGGAATAACGGTCAGGTTTTCATTTGTGAGCCCTCTCTGAACAATATAGCAGGTGGTTTACAAGCACGAGACTCAAGACCAGGAGAACAGAAGATTGATCCCGCAAAGGGGTCCTTGCTCTTAGCTGGGTCATCCGGGAGAAGGTGGGCTCAGTGCCAACACTGTCTACAGCGGAGCTGGGTGCCATTAGTAATAGAAGAGCCCACCTGACTGGAAGGAAGGTACTCTTCACTGCTTACCAAATCCAAGCGATTGCCCAGGAAGTTTTTGTTTCCAAGCTCAGATTTTATAATCAGACTGGTTTTGGGAGATTAATAAAATAGTTTCTCATTATGTGATTTCAAATTAGGTAGCAGTGTGAATATAAATTTGGTTTTTGGGCAAAATCAGATGAGTTCCATCTCTTGAGTCCCACTTGTTAAATATAAAATTGTGTCTAAGAAAGTACTTTAGAATAAAGATATATACAAGTTCAAGGTATTGTTTTTTTAATTGCTACTGCAATAAATAGGTTCATAGTTCACCTGTGCTGGGCAGGTTCAGGAGTGAACCACTCATCCCCAGGGACTCTGCTACCTCTTAGTTCTAGAGTGTAAAGAACAAAAGCTAGAGCAAACACAGATGAGAGCGGGGTGGCTGGGGGAATGAGCCTGTAATAATAGCGCTTACATGCCAGGTGCTTTTGATTGTATCTTGTTTAATTTCTAGAACAACTTTGTGAGGCACACAATATCCCCGTTTTATGGGTCATGAAATTTAGGGTCCAACTGGTTAAATAACTTGCCCAAGGTCACATTGAATATGCGCTAAGAGTCACATGCTAAAACCTATATTCTTCCTACTGTACCACATTGGCTAGGTAACATCTAGTCCCTCACAAACCACTGACCATGACCCCAAGCTGGTAAGAGGTGAGTGGGAGTTACGAATAGCAACAGGCATCCTAAAGGTGGTGACCCAGTGACGAGTCCAAAACTGGTGTTCGGAGAGGGGTAGGGAAGCATCTCAGAGAACCGCGTCACCTCACTTCCAGCCATAGGTCTAGCCTTTCTGGTCTCATCATCAGGGCCAGTGAGTTGCTCCAAGTCCTCATCACAGAGTCTGTGGAGTACAGAAATGTTAAAAAAAAAAAGTCAGTGTGAATCCACATCACTAAGGTACTGTCATATTCCTACCGAAATAGGGAAAACAATGATGAAGCTCCATGGTGTTGTGTAGAGGAGTCTGGTAGTGTCAGCACTGTAAGAAGAAATTGGCTCATTAGAGCAGCAATAACTAATTTGACCTCTCCATTTTACTAACAGGGAAACCAAGGCACAAAGGTAAGCTGTTCAAGGTCACACAGACATCAGGCAGCAGGGTGAGGACAAGAACCCAGGTTTTTTAACTTCTACTATACCACGAAAATCAGTGTAGCGTAGAATGGCTGCTCTGTGCAAAGCTGATTGATCAAGGAGTGGGTGTTCTGTCCACTGGGCCATCCTCAGTTCCCTCTTCCAGCCCAGGCTGCAGGACTCGACCGCACTGAGGAAATTCACCAGTGCAGTGGGAAGGAATGAGACACCGCCTAGGCCAGGGTTCATTCCCGTCTCAACTGGGCCATTTCCTCAGTAACCTTGGACTCATTTTACTTCTTAGACCTCTAGTTTTTTCATGTAAAAGGGGGTGATAGTTCCATTAGATAATTAATATGCAAGCAGTTTTAAACTATGAAACTATTCGTATACTCCTGGCTGGCATAGCTCAGTGGATTGAGCGCGGGCTGCGAACCAAAGTGTCGTAGGTTCGATTCCCAGTCGGGGTACATGCCTGGGTTGCAGGCCATAACCCCCAGCAACTGCATATTGATGTTTCTCTCTATCTCCCTCCCTTCCCTGTCTAAAAATAAATAAATAAAATCTTAAAAAAAAAATTTAAGGTTCCAATTGGAGTTGGAAGGTCCAACTCATGAGTCCCTAATGAAAACATGTCCTTTCTGGCTGTTTGGTCAAACCCTAAAAAAAAACCCAAAACAAAAAAAACACTATTCGTATACTTACTGTTATTTTTTCCACCATTGCTATAATTTAGTGAAGAAACTGAAACCCAGAGAAGTGAAGTGGCTAAACCAAGGCCCCAGCTCATTAGTGGTGGGACCAGAACTTTACCCTAGAGCTGCTGACTCAACTCAGTTATATTCAAAACCTCTGAAAGGCAACCCAAAGAGCCTTGAGGGGAGATTGCAGTGAGGCTGAAGTCTGGATTTGGGTTTGAGGTAGCGGAAGGAAAAATGCTGAGAAAATACCCGAGTGCAGCTCCCCAGAGGCTGTGTTCAGGCCCCTGTTCGGCCCCTGTTCGATCCCCATCATTACAGAGTGTCCTCGGCCAGACTATGAAGATAACACACAGGGCCAAGATTGGGTGTGATGAAAAGAATACCCAGTTCAAAATTGGGGCCAGTCTTGCTTCTGTCCTCTTACTATGTGACTTCCGGTGAATCACTCACCTCCGGCTGCCCCGCAGACCTACGTCAGTGGTTTTGAGATTACCATGGACATGAATATGTTTTATCACCAACGAAACCAGTTCATGGGAGCAAGGCTAGCAGGTGGCTCAGGATCAAAATTGTGCAACTCAAAATTTGATGGCCAACTTTCTCCTAATCTCTACCCAGGAGTGACCTACCCACAACTGTCCCATGTCTTCTTCCCATCACCTACCTGGTGCCACCACCTGCTTGTCTAGCTTGCGGCCCACCCACACCTTACAACCCCGGCCGTTCTGTGCATAGACATGTGGGCCCAAACTTCAGCACATTTCCATGTCCTCACAACAGCACTTTCCAGCAGGCATGCCTCCGCACTGCTGTGCCTGGGACCAGTTAGAGTGCAAAGAGAGCAGTCCTTCAGCTTTCCACCTGGCTGGCTACAACCTGGGGTGGCCAGAGCACCCCTGCCAGTTGTAGGAATACTGTGAGCAGCCTCACCTATGCACCCCATGTGACATCTAATATCCTGTTTCACGTTCTGTGGCTTGAATGTTGGGAAAATGTTGGGAAGCAATGCCACACACACACACATGCGCACACACAGAAGTCACAACTCACCTGAGTAAATACCCACACTTCCTAACAAAGGCACACATGCAAAAACACAGATGTGTGCCCATAAGGCATGCACTCCCGGCACACTTCCTGCTGTCTCCCTAACAGTCATGGCCATTACTCACCCATCCTGGGTCAGAAGGAGAGTAAGGCAGCAAGGATGGCTCTATCTGGGACCTGAGCTCTCCCTCTCCCACTGGGTGGCACCCCTGCTCCCCCTGCTCCCCCTGCTCCCCTGTGGACTCTGACTAGTGTGGCTGCCATTACCTTCCCTAGAGTCTGAGGCCTACACGGCCTGTCCTGTTATTTCCTGGTATACTCTCGTCAGCTCCTCGGCTTTCAAGGTGAGGTGGGTGAGGATGTGATGAAGGCTAGTGTAGTGCAGGTGGAACTGGGCTTCTAGGTCCAGCTGCCCCAAGACCTCCTCCTCGCTCTCCTCCATCTCTGCAGCTTCATTCTCAGTCACAGTGGTTTTACCATCGGCCACCTTGACCTGCCACTCCTCCCGGGGCAGCAGCCCGTGGTCCACATCTGTGCGGATGGCCTTGAGCATGTTGAAGTAGTTGTAGAGACTGGGGGGCCCAGCCTGCGCACTCAGCTTCACGTCCTGCAGGAGGCTGGGGAACATCACCACCTGCTCCATGTTCTGCACCACGGCCGAGTACCGGTCCATGACGTTCAGCAGGCAGTTCTTGGGGTAGCGTTTGGTCAGCACCTGCATGGTTGCTTCCTCCAGCACACTGAGTCCCGCGGTCGTTGTTCTTTTAACGGCTGGGTGTGAAGGCAGTTTGACAGGATGCCAAGGCCCAGCCGGTGGGAAAAACACACCCTGTTTTAGGCCAATCCGAGGGCTTGGGCCCCACTGTCTGTATCAGGAGATCCGTCTTCCTAGGGAAGGGCCTGCCAGCTTTCTGCCTGTCATGTCAGCACTCCTGAGCGCCTGAGCAGGAGCCTGGCTCCTCCTCCACCAGCTCAGAGGACCAACTACAGGGAAGCTTTTCCCTTTGGCAACCAGTGCACTTGACCCTGGGGCAGTAATTAACTCTTTCACGTCACCAGAGACCAAGCTGCCTACTGACAGTAGCCTCCTACTGTGCAGCTGACTTCTTCAACCTGGGTGCCTCAGCTGTGACAGCAACGAGAAGGGTGATGAAAGAACACTGCTTAGTGGGGGGCAAAGAGCACCGAAGCAGAAGCTGGAAGCCCAGTCCTGCAGTTTCTAGTGAGTTTTGGTTTTACCTTATTCAGTACCTCCTGTGTACCCATTTCTGCACCAAGCTCTTTCACAAGGTACCTCATTTAAACTTCACCAAAACCCTGTGGTGAATATTTAATCTTCCTATTCCTATTTACCAATAAGAAAACTGACGTGTAGGTAGCTAAAGGAACTTGCCCATGGGTCGACTGAAGCTGGGATTCCAGCCCAGAACCACCTCTCTCCCACCTCCGCTCAGTGCTTTAGACCCGTGTGTGAGGGCGGATGAGTACACGAGCTCCCTGGGTCCATATCTGTCTCTGCAATTGTGGGGTCTTGTTGTGAGATGGAACGAGGCAATGCTAAAGAAGCACTTTGTCAGCCACAGAGCAGTCCCCAGGTGTATGCTGGTGCAGATCCCAGATTCATGCTGGAGCCCTCTCAACCCTAACCTGTAATTCCACAAGTTACAATGCTTCCTTTTTCCTATTGATCTCGCCCTTTGGCCAAAGCCTTGGAAAATAATAATCCTTTACATAGCCACACTATCCCAGTTAACAAACTGCATTTGTTACATTTATTTATGAGATAACTAGGAAAAGGAGGGCCAGGGGGAGGTTCAAAGTTGCACAGCAAGCTACTGTGAGAGTCAAGTGGAGAAGAAGACCTTCTGAGTTCTGGTTCCTCTCTAGGTACCTGCTGCCCAGTAGGGGAGGGGAGGGGAGGAGGGGGAAGGGGAGGGAAGGGGAAGAGAGGGGAGGGGAACCAGTCTCACTTAAGCAACTCTTGCCCCCACCCCACAGCATCCCCAGGACTGACAGTCACGCACTCTCCCACCTCCTTCCACTCCTACAGCCAGACCTGTGAGAAAGCTCATCTTCATATTGAACTGAATTCTACCTCTCTTTATCCCCTACCCACCCACCAATTACCCATCTTAAGTATGATTATATTAGCACAACAGAGCAGTGTGAAAAACCATTTCCCAGCCTCTAACTCACTCAGTGCCCATAATATGAGGCAGAAAAACAATAGCATCCCCCTTTTCAGATGAGGAAACAGAGACTCAGAAGGTCTCAGAAGTGACAGGGGAGGCTCAGCCCTACTCTCCAGACCTCCGAGGAAAGCCGCAGCTGTCTTCTCCCCTGGCAGCCTTTGTGGGCTGGATGTGTACACAGGTGCAGGTGACCTGGGGTAATCCTGCATTGGACAGGTGGCCTCGCCTCTTCAGAAGAGAGAGGACAGCCAAGTCCATTCACCTGTGGTGAATGACAAAGCTTCCACTTTAATCTCTTCTGTATCACAGGTCATGGAGTGGAACAGAGAGTACGGCCCAGCTCTTCCATCCTCGGGCTATGTGGCCCTGAGCTGCTTGCTGCTCCTCTCTGAGCCTCAGCTCCCTCCTATATTCTGATCATGATCAGAGCCAACGTCAATTGAGGGCTTGGTAGTCCACCCTCACAACAATCATATGTCATAGGTGTTCTCCATTTATAGAGGAGGGGATGAAGGCCTAAGACGGTAAAGTGATTAGTCTAAGAACGTACGCTCTTAGTTTAAGGCAAGGAGGAGTTGGGGTGAGTAGCAACTCCTACCCATGGATTGTCATGAGGGTTAGAGTTGATGTTTGTGAAATGCCTGGTATATTGCAAGGCCTCAATAAATATGTATTTACCTCCTACCACTTCTCCTTTCCTACTCTGTGCTCCCTAATTCCTCGTTATGTCTTCATCCTCAGACTCACCACACACATTGAGGTTCATTTTGTATCTGTCCTGGGGCCCAGAACTGCAGATGCTCAGTAGATACCAGCCAAATGACGACCATTGGATCCACTTCTTGACGCATTCCAGGGTCTTTGGTCATAGTGTCCAGTCACCTTGAAAAACAGGGTTCCTGGCCTGGCACGAAGGAATGGTGAGGACTTTGGAAGGTGGGGGAGCCCAGAGGCTGTAGCCACCCTTGGCCACCCAAGAGCTGCATGACGCTGCGCATGCCCACCACCACCTCATGGGGCTGCCTCTCAGGTGAGGCTCTTTTCCAGGATGACCCCTCAGGGAAGGAGGGTGCACCATACTCCTGTCCTGACAGTCTTCACTCTGCAGGGCGCTGCTCCGTTCTTACCGTAAATGAAAGTGTTAGCAAGACCCATGAATCCGATATCACCTCCACCAGTCAGCACGGTGAAGAATTTGCATAAAATTGCTTCCTAAACTATGTGTGGAAAGAGTAAGTTTTTTAAATTAATAGATTAAGTGAAAACATTTCATTTTAACAGATTACTTAAGTAAACATTTGATTCATTCACTTCCAGGCCTAAAACATTTTTTTTCGTTTGTTTGTTTTCGACCTTTACTGGGGAAAACATTCTTGAAATGTTTTCTCCTTAGGAAAATGGGGCATCCCTTGTGTCTGAACACCCAGGATGGCTGAGCAGTGAGTACGGGCCGAGACCATGAGGCTGGACGTTGTGGTTTGGCTTTGGAGGGCTGTTGCCCAGCCCACTCATGAACAGGTTCCTGAGCTGCCGTGCCCTCAGCTGTGCAGGGTTTGGAGATCTCTGAAGGGAAGGCCTTTCCAGGCCTACCTAGCTCAATAACTCCTTCTGAACCTGTGGGCAGGTGTCTACGTGTGCCCTGTCTTAATTCTTAGGTTTGTAACCCAGCCCCAGGTCACCAGCTCAGAGCTGGAAACATGGTGCTCCAGCCCTGTGCTCCGGGCCAGGAGAGCTGACTCTGCCACACCGGGCGGTCCGGACTGCCTGACCAGGGGCGGCCTCCTTCCTCTCTCAGCCCGTGGCCTGGAGCCACCTGGGGCCTCGGTGGGCCATCCCGGCCTCGTCTACTCAACAAGGGGGCCGATCTTTGTTGGAGCCTCCCCAGCTCAGACTTTGGGGAACTCCACCTGAGCACAGGGCCCCTGTGTCCCGCTGTGCCCTTCTGCCTCCATGTTTGCATACTAAAGCCAGTCTATTCCCAGACTTGTTGCTGGACCCGGCCCAGAAGGATTGCGAAAGTAAGTAAATGGGTGTATTAGTGAAAAGGGGGGAGCGTGAACAAACTGATAATTGGGGGACAAATGAGTTGCGTGAGTGAATGAGTGCAGAGCTCATGAGTCACCCTGGGAGGGAGGGTGATGAGGACCCACATGGCCAGGGCCAGGGCCAGGGTCGTTCAGCCAGCAGCCTACAGACAGAGACTGGCCCTAGGTCTACCCATCAGATGGAAGGCCCTGGATAAAATGTTGCTGAATGAGCAGCTGCCAGCCCTCCCTGATTAGAAGACACAGAGCAGGGATCCCAGGGGATAGGCTGGACTCAGATGAGTTCTAAGAGTGGGGCGAGGAGGAAGGCAGAAGAGAAGTGATGTGAGGCCTTCTCAGGGGGCTTGCTGTGGGGCAGGACCCAGTGGAGTCAGGTGTCCCTGCTCTCAAGATGCCCTGTCCCAGGGCTGGGAGACCACCTGGTACAACTGGGTGCTGCAAGCAGGAACCCTGGTGGTGGAAGGGAGGGAATTAGCAGAAGCTGGATGAGACATCAAGCGTCGCTTAGTTTCCCTGGACTTCTCCACTTCTCTCAAGTTGCGGAAAACTGAGGTGGGGTGAGGCACCTCACTGGAATGGCTTCCACAGAACTGCCTGTGGCCTCGTGCTCAGGGCATGTGCATGACCCAAGTTGGACAGAGGGAACTGATTCCAGATGGACGGGAGTCAAGGCACCCAAGGGCCAGGCCACGAAAGCCACGTGACTGTGGTGCAAGGAACTGCCTGACTCCAAGTAACCCGGGCTGGGCTGGAGCCCAGGCAGCTACAGAAGGGACTCAGACAAAGGTTGCAGCAAGTTTTCTGTTTGTTTTTCCTAATATAGCTTATTGATTATGCTATTACAGTTGTCCCATTTGCCCCTTCGTTCCCCTCCACCCTGCACACCCTCTCCCACGCACATTCCCTCCCTTTAGTTCATGTCTATGTGTCAAAAGTTCTTCAGCTTCTACATTTCCCATACTATTCTTGTCCTCCCCCTGTCTATTTTCTACCTACCATCTATGCTATTTATTCTCTGTACCTTTTCCCCCCTCTCCTCCTCCCACTCACCTGTTGCTAACCCTCCATGTGATCTTCCTTTTTGTAGTTCTGTTCCTGTTCTAGTTGTTTGCTAAGTTTCTTTTTGTTTCTGTTTTAGGTGTGGTTGTTAATAATTGTGAGTTTGCCGTCATTTTACTGTTATTAGTTTTTTATCTTCTTTTTCTTAGATAAGTCTCTTTAACATTTCATATAATAAGGGCTTGGTGATGATGAACTCCTTTAACTTGACCTTATCTGAGAAGCACTTTATCTGCCCTTCCATTCTAAATGAAAGCTTTGCTGGATAGAGCAATCTCGTATGTAGGTCCTTGACTTTCATGACGTGGAATATTTCTTTCCAGCCCTTTCTTGCCTGCAAGGTCTCTTTTGAGAAATCAACTGACAGTTTGATGGGAACTCCTTTGTAGGTGACTGTCTCCTTATTTCTTCCTGCTTCTAGGATTCTCTCCTTCATTTTAATCTTGGGTAATGCAATTATGATGTGCCTGAGTGTGTTCCTCCTTGGGTCCAACTTCTTTGGGACTCTCTGAGCTTCCTGGACTTCCTGGAAGTCTATTTCCTTTGCCAGATTGGGAAGTTCTTTATTATTTGTTCAAATAACTTTTTCACTTGTTGCTCTTCCTCTTCTGGTACTCCTATAATTCGGATGTT